AACCCCTCAACCGAAGCCAATTTTCGGTTGTACCATGGCTCAACCTAAGGCAATTTTCGGTTGAGTCATGGTGCAACCGAAGCCAATTTTCGGTTGGTCCATGGTACAACCGAAAATTGCCTTAGGTTGAGCCATGGTACAACCGAAAATTGGCTTCGGTAGAGGGGTTTTGGGTTTTTTTGGATTTGTTTGGTTTATATCAATAATTTTCTATTCTTTTACTACGATTTATGATTCGGTTCATAAGATAATTTGTTGAATTTTGGTTTATATATTTTTTTAGATTTATGGAAGGGGGAGGAGTTGTTTGTTTTGTGTTTGATTTTGAAATTCAAAATGGGCAATTTGGTAAATTACATATTAAGTTAGGACGATGGTTAGTAATTTTTAGGACGACCTTTAACCATTCAGATCTGCGATACCCATCTTCTGACCAAATCAGGTGGAAGCAACCCATCCCTAACATCTCCTGGTAACCTACTCCTCTTCGCTGAATACACATCCACGATCTCACTCCCACCTCTTTCATCGCCGGATTCATTCGACGGCGACGAAAGTCCAGACGAAGAACTCCATCGTGGAGACAGATCGTGAAGTTGGTGCTTGCCGCCTCTCTCTTCTTCTCTTTGATGGAGGGATTTGAGGAGCTCTGCCCTGCCAACGGGAAAACAGGGGGAAGATGATTTTGGGCATCTGTCTCCATCAGATCTAGGCCCGTAATAACCTCATCGGCTTCGTGATTGGAAACAACAGCAGCCCCACGAATTTCAGGACTCGAGCAGAGGGGGAATCTGGAGATCGACTTTGACCAGCGACGACTTTGGGAGAAATTCGGAGATCGATGCGGCGGTGAGGGATTTAGAGACAGACACCGCGATCTCCTTTGTTTCTCGCTTCATCACCGAGACCCGGCTACGGCGACTTCACAACGACGACACGATGTTCTAAATGCATTTGTGTTTTTGGATTTTATTTTCTTTGGGGGTTCTGATCGAGGGGAGGAAAAAACATAGGGGAGTACCTGCGGCGAGTGGTTTGTGGAGGTTTGTGGTGTTGACGTCGGAAGATCTCCTGACGTGGTAGCTGAGGTGGGAGAGGGGATAAGAAGCGGACTGCCGCCGACCGCCTCTAGCGATACTCGGGACTAGTCGAAGCTGTCGCAGCGGAAGAAGAGGAACTACAGGAGGCGATGATTATGGTTTTCGGTCAAAGAGGAAGAAGAGGAACAGATCGTGAGATAGGAAGAGAGCCTTTGTTGTTCTTTTACAATATTTTTATTTTTAATGGGTATTGTTTAAGTTAGCCGGTTCGGTTTTCGAGTTTGATTAGTAAGGTTGAGTAATTTAACACTTAACAGGGTTACGTGGTGGGTTTCTGACATTGCAGGTCAATTATCTTTTTTTTTTTTGTTTAAAATTAAATGACTCAGCATGTCTGTTAGCCACGTCAGCAAAAAACTAACGCCGTTAACGGAGACTAACGGAAGTTAACGGAGAGTGACCAAACTTGGCCTGTTTTACTAAACCTGATGACCATGAACGGAATTAAATATTTGTAGTGACCAAACATGAACTTTTTTTGTAATCTCAATGACCAACCATGCAATTAACCCTTTGGCAATGATCACAACGTAGTTGTGTTTGACCGTCCAGGATAACGGTCAGATTTCGACTTTGTTTAATTTCGTAAATTTGATGTATAGTTGAAGCCACGAAGTTATAGATCGAAAAGATTGACCAGAATGTTTACTTATCAGTTAAAAAAAATGATTTTTCCACCTATTACCATTTATCTTTTTTATTTTGAAAAAAAAAGAAAAAAAGGAAAAGAAATTAAAAATGTCGGGACTAGTTTTTTCCTACTTTTAAGTGGTAATTTGATTTATGAATGTTGTGCCCTTTCAATCATTAATCCACAAACCACTTCCCAATTTTATATAAATATATCAATCAATCACTCTTAAAAAGAGAATAACAAACGATCCAAGATTACAAAGAATCTATCTACTAATTAAAATATAATTAAGAAATGAAGTCAAATCCACTTAGTGAGCGAGGTGACAACAATAGAGAAGCGAACGAAACTACCAAAAGAACCCTTTTTCCAGCTATCGATTTTCCCCACCAAGTCTACCATACGTCATAACCTCCGGGCCACATAGCAAGTGAAGAACAAGTGCTCAATTGTCTCGTCCATCCAACCGCAAACCGAAAAAATTGGAATAAGATCCATTCCTCGAGTCACCAAAGCTTCGCGAGTGGGTAGAACTTGGTGGAGACACTGCCAAAAAAAAAAAAAAAAGCAGAAGATTTGCTAGAAGCACTAGATCACATCTCTATATATTAAGAATAATGTATTGATTTCCTATCATTATTTCTTTTTTTATTTGAGTTCGTTATAAGAAAAATAACACATATTCCCATATGGCAAGGTCAAGAAGGAAACTCGCTACGTTACCAAAAAAACCTTAAGCCTAGTTAACATCTATCACGGTGTTGTTAAAGTTACAGATGAAATGACTGTATGTGTATATTTTTCAAAAGTTTATGAAGATGTATTTTATCTATAAATAAATCCAAATGTCGAAAATGGGGGGAAAAATCAAATTGAATGAAGTCATGATCGATTCCACTCAATCTAACTAAAATAAGAATCATTAACCATTAATCATTAAACCCAATATAATACAGAAACCCATATTCACGTATGCAAATAAGAAAAAGGAAAATAAAAGCCTGATCCAGCACCAAGGCCCAAGCCCACAACTAATACAACCCAGCAGCAGTACTTCCGCCGGCGGCAGCGCCGCCCCTGAGTGCAAGCACGAGATGAAGAACGTCGCCGGCTTCAATTCGGTAGTCCTTCCCCGTCTTGTCGTCCGCCATCTGCTTCCCTTTGAAGATCAGCCGCTGCTGGTTTGGCGGGATTCCTTCCACCTCCTCCACTTTCACCTTTACCCCGGCAATCGTGTCGTTCAGGTCCACGTCGACTTCAATCTCCTTCCCCGTCAGCGTCTTCACTTTGATCGCCGTCCCTCCCCTGAGCCGCAGAACCAAGTGGAGCGTCGATTCCTTCTGAATGTTGTAATCGGCGAGCGTCCTGCCGTCTTCCAGCTGCTTCCCCGCGAAAATCAGGCGCTGCTGGTCGGCCGGAATCCCCTCCTTGTCCTGAATCTTGGACTTGACGTTGTCCACGGTGTCGCTGCTCTCCACCTCCAGAGTAATCGTCTTCCCGGTCAGCGTTTTCACGAAGATCTGCATCTTTTGCAGTTGCCGATCGAACCTGATTTAGGGGATGTTGATTTCGATATATCTTCTTGCCCCTTCTCTTTCGTTAATGGGAGTGTGCCGATTTGCAATTGTGTTTGCTTTAGCCGGGGTTCGGGTCTTTTTTTATAGGCACTGATTTTATTGCCGATTTCTGGTCGGAAAAGGAGAAGCAGAGTTCCCTCCGACCACTCCGAATTTGTGTCGGAGAAGGTGGATCATTAGGAAATTGACCTAAGGCTAAGAGAAAAGACGGATATCCACTCTACTCATATTTCAACTATCTTTTTAAAGTGAATGTATTGATTTGATGGGTAAAACCAATTAATTAGCCAAGTTTAATAAACTAATAATCAAAATTTTGAAGAAGAAAAAAAAAAGGCAACCATCAAGTCTCTGTTAATACCCTCCTGATTCGGCCTTCATTACTCAAGATGATGTGGATGCTTATGTGGATTGTGAGTGCAATTAACTGTTTAAGACGTGTGGCAAAAAAATTGCAACTTATTGAAAAGATTGGTCTATTATTTTATATCTTTGCTGTTATTTCATTAAAGTTGAAATATTTGACTAATAAATTGTATTTACCTTTGTTTTATGCAACACTAAGTTTTTATATAAAAAAGCTAGTAGCAAGCTTAAAGATGGTCCTTATGTGGCTAAGGCTTATGCATACTTGCATAACCAAATATGAACTCTTGATTTTAAATGGAGTTAGATCTAAATGGTGAATTTAAATGGTTTTTTATTTTCACATTATTCTTCATTATTTTTTTATCTTTGTTTTAATTTAGATTAAATTTTTTTTTTTTCATAAGTGGAACAAGTTCGTTATGATCCATAAAATGATATCCATTTTCAATATATTTCGAGAAATTTTTTCATACCACGTGTTACCAGCTTGGTACCATCTATATCATGTCTGTTTTTCACTCAAATTTTGGAAACTTCTACACCTAATGAACGAGTTGATCATGATTTATTGGATCTACAAATTTCTGTAGAAAAAAACTTCAGAACCAAATAGCCCACCTTATACCAGGTATAGGGTGGTAACTAGTGGTGGGCGGTTATAAAAGGTTATAAATGACAGTTAATATATTCATACGATCATGTATACAACTATTTTACAATATGATATATTTATACGACCATGATACACTTTGATAACCCCATGATATAACCTTGTATACTAGCAAGTATTATCACCATGGTATGAACTGATAGGTGATAGCAAATATCTCTTTTTTTTTTGTTCTAAATATATCAAAGTGAATGTAATTTTGAAAAATATAATTAATATGATTTATCAATGAAAAAAATATGACTTAAAATAAAAGAGATTTAAATCATGAAAACTACCTTATATAACTTGTAAATATAATATTACACATGCTATCGAAAAATAATAAGTGCAAGATTACACCATTAACAATCATGAAATAGCCTATCTATTTTATATGTGGTCCCTACCGTCACCTCTACACCTTTTACAACTTCATTTCTTAACTTTCATTTTATCTACATTCATCAAATTCATTTTCGATTTCGTATGTGGGTCCAAATACAAGTAATAATTTTCATACTGTAATCAATTGAAGTTGACCCAATTTACCTCTTCTATATTGAATTTCATTTAATGAAATTTTTAAAAAATGAAATGATAAGACACACCACTATGGTTTTCTATTTTCCCGCCCTTCATCCCATTCCAATTCCTATTACGTTACCGCCATTTCCAACTAGTTTGTTTTATTCGTCTTTGGGCCAAGGCCTATGGGTCTAAGTCCAACCAATACCAAATTACCAATAGTGGTAGATTATGAACTGTTTAGAGTTCAGTGTCCTCTCTCTCTGTGAAGACTCCACAGCTCAATCCGCACAAGCATCGGATCTAGAAGAAACGAAACGTAACCTTATTACAAGAGCATAAGATCTCCAACATTGATTCAATCACGGCCAGCATCAACGACGCGGAGCAAGGCGGTCATGACGAGCATGTCATTCAATCAGCTGCAATAGCCATAATCATTACATGCACACAGAACTGTGATATTTTCAAAGGTGAGAACTGCGACTGATAAACGAAAATTAGGTTACTGCTGGTGCATTGGATCAGATGCTCAATAGTACGTCCTAATTGGGCGACTATTGGCGAGTACTATTGTGTACTACCATGAAAGACATCCGAAAATAGCTAAACCTGGGACTACTCGAGTTCAAAAGGATCTTCAGCTAGGTGACATATGTAACAACAAGGGCAGTACAATCCCTCAGATCGCAGTTAGCTCAGTTCTCCGGAGTTCCACTTGCATATTGCACACCCAAGACTTCCTGCATAACAGAAACAGGTTATCAGTGCCGTGGATAGTAGATGTAAGAAATGACTGCCACCTGTACACTAATGAGGTACAGGAATAAACACTCAAGCACATTGCAAGGCGTCCACAATGCTGAGGAAGTAACAAACTAACAATAGCAAAAGCAAAGGGCGAATGCTTATTGTGAAAGCTTGCCAACATATTAATAAGATTTGAATGCTAAGCATCACGTGGAAGTGTAACTCCACCAATAATTTTTAGGTTAACCATTATCAGGATCCACACCTCCTCATTGTTAGCAAGTCCATCCTTAGTTCCAATCCCTCCTTGGCTGCTTTAATAATCTCTTATGATAATATATATTCATACCTATTGGGACAAAACCTTTCCGGATTTCCCATAGGAGTCTGGATCTCTTATCTAACAATGGTTATGAGAGAGAGAGAGACCCACCACACCGTTGCAATGTCCAATCTAGGCTATATTAAACATCTTATAGCCATGTTTCCTACATTCAATCTGCCACTGCTATATATACTAAACATAACATAATCTAGTTCCACATTCAGCAGCAAACCTGCATCAAAAAACTTTCTACTGTCTAATATATCATGCGGCAAAAAATGAAGCCAGAATTTCAACTCATTCTACAAGCAAAAGGTGGGAAGATTATTCATTTGAGCAGCATCATAATTCAGGCGAGACTTATGCTTTCAGTACGGTCTTTACATTCAGAGCTCATGCCCAAAATTAAAGAACAACCTAAGTTCAATTAAGCTAAACATGAATGAACACAAGATAATTGACATCTATGGATGTTGTCAAGTGAGAAGGAAGAGAACGGTATCTAGGAAACTGATACAACTATAAGTAAGGAAGCAGGTTTTGTGAATTACCTAGACAAATTCAATAGTTTCTGGTCCATGACGGGAAGAACCTTTCATGAAGTAATTGATCACATGGTAAGAAAATATCATAGAGTGGAACCCAGAAAAATATGGCGACGCTTTCAAAGATTTCAATCTGGTAAAGGGAGAAGATTGATCCTCCAAAAAGTCGTAATTGCTGCTCAATAGCTACACAAAGTACACCAAAAGAAAAAATTAATCCAGTAAAGTGACAGGTTCAATAGCATCAATCTCATACTTTAAGAATATACCTGGAGAAATTTAGAATGGACATTCAAAGAACTCGCATTGTGCAGACCCTGTAACAAGCTGATGCAACTAGCCTTCATTTCTTCCTTGTTCTTTTCAACACGGCTGTTATTATGCACCGAGATAATAGCATGATCGAGGGAAGGAAGGGTTAACTTGTACAATATTGGGGATTTCGCGTTATCAATGATATTGAAGAGTTTAAGCTCTGGCGCAAATATTTCCAACTTAGAACAACAAAGTTCATATATCAGGAGTTTAACCAGTCGGGGTCCGGAGATCTTGAAGCAACATCGACGATCTTCCATTGCACACCCACACAATGTCAAATTCTCCAAGCAGGGAAAGTTAGCGAAAGGATCAAGGTCAGCCGTGCTGCCACAAGGCAGCCAGCACTCATCCAAATCCAAAACCCTCAGCTCGCTGAACGCAGAAGATCCGAATCCCGTTTCCAAAGTTGCGCATCTGAACCGTAGTGTTCTGAGGTTGCTATCAGCTAGAGGGACAAACAAATGTGGCTCCAGAATTTCGCCATAGCGCACACTAACTATTAGCTCTTGACAATTGCAAGACGCAGCAAAATTCATGACCCTGTGGAACAGCTCTTTGTCCAGGGCAAATCCCAAGTGAAAGAAGTATATCTCATCGACGTTACTGCCATCGGGGCGAGAGGACAAGACTCCGTCGACGTACCTGGCGAAGCTTGAAGCGCTGCTGAAGAAATCTGTGTCGAGAGTTTAATGAATTATTTAGGGGTCAATACTTATTACTTTAATTAAGTTTTAATTCTGAACTAAATGATTGTAAACAATTTCCCACTAAAATGGCAATTTTTTGCCCTTCCAAACACAAAAATTGTAAGAAGTCTTAGAATTACGGTCCGTTATTAGCATGACATATTTAGTGATTTATTGATCAATGGCGGAGTCGGGATTTGAATCTCGGGAGGGAGTTGTTTAGTTTACTATAGTATTTTATTATCATAATGACACAAGAATTGAGATAATTATTTACTATGTGATATGTTCAAAACAAATGATTAAATTAAAAAAAAAGATTAATCATGCATTTTAATATGTAGCTCATTTTTATCATTTCAAACAATTTATTGGCTAATTTCAATATGGAAAGGGCAAAATAACACTGGTGCACTCATGCGGCTAGATCAACTCTTCTACCACTCCTCCACCCTTTATTTCTTGCTTCATTAATTCTACAACCGCATATATTTTATACGTAATTTTTCACAATCCAAAGAGATTTTGTACGTAACTTTAAAGTTTGGCGGCCGGGGAGGGGGGAGCTCTGTCCCAGTTAGTGATATGATGTGGATGCTCTATCATCCGAATGTAATTTCTTAACCCATCCAAATTCCTTTCCTCTCAACGACAGCGATCATAATGACGTTGGTCCTTTTACCTTCACTGTAAGGTTTGTTTCTTCTCATGAAGGAGCATTTAAGAGCAAATAGCTGAAAAGATAAATCTATTTCGTTGTCGTTGCTCATCAAACTTGTAATGATATGTCAAAGAAGTTGTGGATGTGTCGTTATACCATGAGTTTTTAGCCCGTAGCATGCAGGTTCGGATCCTAGGGATGACGCTCATTTAGGGGTCGTTTGGAAGTTGCGATTGTTAAATAGATGTATTGTTGAGAATGCATGTATAATATTATACATTTATTGTCGAATTTGATGCATTGTAGAATACAACGTTTGGTATGCGTGATTGTATATGTCGCATCAGCTAAAAGTTGAGACAAAACAATCTCAACTCAACTATCTCAACAATCACAACTAAAAGTTGAGATATAACAATCACTCAAAATGAGTGATAGTTTCTGTCACATCCCAGAAACAATCCATGTATTGTTTCTGCTAAAAAAACAAAAAAACGATGCATTGTAAACAATACATGCATAATAACAATCTCAACAAAACTATCGCAACTTCCAAACGACCCCTTAGTCCTTTCCTCGTCCTTCTAAATAGCATCTTGTAACAGTTTTTTGTAAAATAAAATAAAAACTCGGAGTGTTCTATTTGGGGAATTCATGAGGAATTGACTTCTCATTGTTGTCAACTTGTCGTCCTCCCTTTAAGTTCTTCTTTGGTTTGGGCATACGGAAGAAAAGTCAATTGGAATTGCAAAAAATTTGTTCTTGTTGTTACAAATATATATGGCAATATACACTTGTATAGCCAAAACTTTAACGTTTTGGACAAATATAACCACGTTTGGCGAAATACCAAAAATAGCCACTTCCGTCCAATTGTTTGACGGTGTTAGTTAACGTGCTGACTAGTTAATAAAAATATGAGGTTGAATTAACAGAAAAAATAAAAATAAAAAAATTAAATATTTTTATTATCTCTCTCTCCCTCTCGGTTCTTTCACCTTCCGTTTCCCAACCACCGCGAACAGATCTGAAAATCTTCAATGTTCTTCCTCTCTTCTTCCTTACGATGCGGGGGGAAGCCGGAAGCCAACCAATGATAACAAAAGACACAGGAGCCCAACGCCATTAGAATTCTAATTAAAGAGCTTTTTCATATTAAAGTTTCTTCCTTTTCATGAACTTCTTCCTCTTCCCCTCAATTCAGTCGCTTCCTGTTCAGGTACCCTTCCATCTCTCTCTCACCTCTTATTATTCTCCTTTGCAGCTTCTTTGGTTTCCTCTGTTTCTTTTGTTGTTGTTGTTCAATTTGGTGGGATTGATTTTTTTTTTGGGTGAAATTCAGAAATGGAATTCTAATTCATGGAAGACAGAGCTTTGAAATAAAGCTTGAAGAGAGAAGTTATGGCTTCTATGAAGTATCATCAACAACACCAGATGCATCAAGATCTGGGGTTTAAAGATTTCCTGTACTTGAACCCTAGTCCAGCAAAGGATTTTCACGGTCATCGAGAAGACGAACTTCTCCAAAGTCATGCGGAACAAGGGGTATTTCTTCCTGGTGCTCCTGAAGCGATCCAGGAGCGAACGGAGGCAGAGGAGCCCGGCGGCGGTGCAGACAACAGCGGAGAGCCAGCACCTATTCTCTTCACTACCGGCGTCATCCTCTTTGCTTCATCTTGTCCGCGACCAAAAACCAGAATCGACGGTTATGGAGGGATAAGATCTCGATGTGATGGAAGAGGGGCGGGCTGATGGTGGCCAGTAGTGGGAGACGATGGCGAGCAGCGTAGCGGCGAAGATCGATTCCGTGGAGAGGATTCTTGTGTCCTTGGCGAAGACGACGGCGGCCTAGAATCAGATGGGAAGAGAGTGATGAGAAGGCGACGACGACGGCTCGAATTGTGGATTGGGGTTAGTTTGGGAAGATCGAGAGGCAGGGATCGGGAGAAGAAGAGGGTTCGATGAGATTAGGGATGGGGGAAATTTATTTTTTAAATGACGTGTCGTCCACATGTCAATGAATGCTGAGGTGGAAATAAAAGAGAGACTGAGTTGGAAGCCAGGTCAGCATTCTGTTAATTTCACTAACGGTGTCACTGACGCCGTTAAACTATGTAACGGAAATGGCTATTATTGTCATAAAACTTTCAAAATTCTGGCTATTATTGGTATTTCTCCAAAAGTGGCTATTATTGTCACAAACGTCAAAGTTTTGGCTACACATATGAATTTTGCCAATATATAATTCATGGGGAAATAAAGAAATAGTGATTTACTTGTTCCTGGAAATATTTTATTCTCTAAGTGTCGGCGGGAATTGAGAATTCTAATTTTTTTGAATTTAAAATAAAAAAAATATTTTTCATAAAATATAGGAATTTTAAACAATAAGAACCTAAAACATGATTGTCATATTTTCAAACCTTTTAAGTTTTGATAGAAAAAAGGGTGAGAACTAATTTAAAGGTTTTTCTTTGGCCTAATTATCGATGGGAAGATTTAGCTCTGTGTTTTCACACCAAGAATTCTTTGCAAATGAAGAGAGTTGTGAGTAATACAGTCAAAATCTACGATTTAAAATTATGATTTTACGCTTGTCAAAATAGCTGCATGCATCGATGCTAGGAGCAGCGATCCCCACCTCCTAGGCCATGCTTCACTTGTCACAACAGCGATCCCCACTGGATTTCAGTACTGGAGAAGGGGATTTACCTGAGAAGGAAAAAGAGCTACCCAATTGGAAGTTCCTTGTCTTGTCCAGAAATCGACAGCAGATCTGGGCGTAGACCCTGCCGAGGAAGAAGGCGGGAGGGAGAGCAATGAAGAAGGAATATGGATCTTGAGCTATGAACGAACAGAACCATTCGACTCTCGACGGGTGATTTCGTTGACGATCCATGACTTGGGATCTTGAGATGATCGCGGAAGAGAACGTCATCAGCCCGATTTTAGGGGAATCGAGCTTGTCCCACTACTGGCTCCGCTTGGGAGCCTCTTTCCTTCTTCAAGAAAGCGGTGGGGGAAATTGGGAGTCTGGGATTTCTAGCAAAAAAGAGTATGGACGAGAGAGAGAGAGAGAATCTCCACCGCCACCTGCGTCAAAAAAATGTTCTGATGAGGGAAATCTCTGCCACAATGGAAAATAATAAGGCCACTGCCTGGGGGGAAAAATTAAAAAGAAAGAAAGTTGAGGCAATCATGTATGCGATTCTTGGAGATAAAACGGGAGTAAAAGTAAAATTGAGATGGAGAAGGAGATTTTTTTGGTTTTGCCCGAAAAAGGAAAGAGGCTAGGGGATAATGTGGTGGGTGGCCGAAAATTATTTTATTTTATTTTTCGTTTTTTTTATAATTAGGTAAAGGAAATAATAAAATAAAATTGAAATCCGATTTTTTTCTTCTTTAGTCCTGATATGGCGGTGACTTGGATAGTTGACTAACGGTCAATGGTGTTGACCGTCCAAACAAACGGTCAAACCATGTTTCCGGCTAAATGAGTCTATATACTGCAAAGTTCGGGTCGGGATGTTAATTTTTCAAACCACGAGCCAAAGTTGATTATATGGTCATAGTTCGGGCCAAAATAAGGTATTAACCCTTAATTAATCAATTCGAAAACTGTATGTTCATCGGGAGCGAATCTAGTTAATAACCTTGTGGTCAATTAGGGATGGCAATGGGTCGGGTTGGGTCGGGTTTTGCCAAACCCAAACCCAAACCCATGGGTTTATCTTTGAAAAAAACCCGGGGTAAAACCCACTGGGTTTGAAAAACTCAAACCCAACCCAACCCGTTGGGTATCCGCGGGTTCATGGGTACCCACGGGTTTTGTCGTAAAAAATTTACAATTACAAGTTCTTATCAAATTAAAGTCAAATATCAATCTCTCGATACAAATTATCCATATATAAAACACCATTCTAGAAAATTCAAGCAAATCACAAATTAACTATACAAATTGTTCAACGCCAATCTAGAAAACTCAAAAAAATTGAAGCAAATCACAAATTATCCATAAATAACATGTTTAATTGAAAGCTTCTTCCTTTCAATTAAGTTTCTTTACTTTCCACTTCATAACATCAACTTCCTTCTACACAATTAAAAATAAAAAATTAGACATGTCTCCACAAATATAAATAAGATTAGTTGTTTAGAATATTAACTATACCGAAAAAATTAATTATATGGGTGGGCGGGTACCCACGGGCCGGGTTTACCTAAACCCAAACCCAACCCAACCCGGTGAATAGTGAACGGGTTTAAACCCAAACCCGGCCCAAAACCCGTCAACACGGATTTTACCCGCGTTGACCGGGTTGGGTCGGGTGGGTACCCGTGGGTTCGGGTTTTGCTGCCATCCCTGTGGTCAATAACTATGCATAACTCAATCAGAATCAGCCATATATGCGCGACTTCTCTCTCCTGAAAAGCCTTTAATTTCCCCCCCTAATCTTTAACGAATGATTTCTCACTCATTTTAAGTAGATTTTTTTTTTTGCACAGTTAGATCATATTAATTGTGCTCTTCAAAATGATATCCACTTTGATATATTTTTGGAACAAAAAAATTTGAGCCATTTTTTACCAGTCTATACCATATGTTATTGACTGGTATTAAAATAAGAGCATACCTATGGTATGAAAAGCGTATCATGGTGGTATGAACAAACCAAGACTGTAGGATGGTTGAATACATGATAGTAGAAGTATATTAACTGTCATTTATGACTTTTAACATTGCATACCACAAGATACCACCTCGTACCAAGGTGGTATTGTGTGGTATTTTTTTTTTGTCATGTATTTTATTCATTCAGAAATTTGTAGATCCAATAGATCATGATAAACTCGTTCCTTCTGTGCAAAAAATTTCAAAAAAGAATTAAAAACGAAGAAGATACCATATGGTATGCAGTTGGTACCAAGAGGCCCGAAATTTTTTTCTCGAAAAATATTGAAAATGGATCTCATTTGTAGAGCACAGCGAACGCGTTCCATTTGTGCAAAGAAAATTGAAATCCGAGTTAAAAAGAAGAAGATATGAGT